TAATAACTGTAGTAAGGTTTTTGATATCTTCATATTTGGACAACACTCAGCCAACTACACGCACTGTACCAGTCATAAAAAATGCGTCTTTCATACTCGAGGAAAATACACACGCAGCATACAAAGCATGTGCATTTGTTGTTGGTGCTGTTGGTGATTGTTGGATGTTGTCTTGTGGATGCAGAAGATTTCTCTTGTTTCGAAATTCCAAGTTCAGATCTCGTTAATGTTTGTTCAGGACATGGTATATGTGTTGACACGGATATTTGTTCATGTTTTCCTGGTCATACTAATTCTCAATGTGAAACTCACACTTGTTTTGGAATAATATACAACGATGAACCTAATGTTTGTTCAGGACATGGTACTTGTATTGGTCCGAACATGTGTAATTGCACCATTCAAGATGGTGTAGTATATGGGGGAGATTCATGCGAATTAATTATTGGATATGTTCACTCAAACAGTTGCGGGAACGATTGCAAATCAACAGACTATATTCAAAGTGGAGTTGACACATTATTTGTTAAAGAACTGCAAACATTCCAATCAACACTGAAGGCAGAATATCCAAATTATTCATTCAGGTTAAAGATGAGTTCAGAATACTTGTGGAAAAACTCTGACGGTTCTTTCAATCTCAACGAGCTAGGTGGTAATTTAACAATATCTGTTGTTAACTTGGTGCTTGTTGATGGTTTAATATCGTTCCGTAATGGAAGCGGTCTCATTGGAAGAACCAAGGACAACATTTCCCCTCTCTACATGTTCTCGAATGATTTTTATGTTTCATTTAAGGTTAATGTTAAAGAGTTTAAGGAATACAATCCAATTATGAATATTACGAGTGGACCCTCATTCTCCATTTACATGTCAGGAACTTCGCTATTTTTTGAAGGTCAAACTATTGAATTTAATGATAGATATATCCAAACTATTCCTAACGAAATTCATATGTTATCGCAAACTTACACGGTAGTCATTATTAAATCATTTGTAGATGGCACCAAGATCTATGTGAACGATCGTCTTTGTTTTGAGAGCGAGTCAAGTT